TGAAAGAACCAAAATATGTGTACTCACGCGTATCTGCCCGGCCCGTCTTATGTGCTGAATGACCTTTTCCTGTCCATGTATTCTCTTTGTATCTTCAGACCGTCCTGTGAATCCGGGCAATATGGCGTGCTAGACTTCAACCACTTGAGAGCTATATAATGTGTTTTCGAGCTAAGGACCACGTGCCAGTATGAGGCTGACGGTTTAACTATTATACACACGTGTTGTCATCGCATGCCTCTCGAACTTGTGCTCGCGGCCGTCAGCTATCGTCTCAGAACTCAATCGCGTGAAGCATTACGTACAGGAGGCGCGCGTCCGATGATGCGCGAGTAAAAAAATGCTGTGGATGAAGGTGGAAGAACGTGCATCGCGCGTGAAGAAACAGCGACTGGGCATGAACGAGAGAATGTTTATTCCACATTCCGTCCAGAACGACTTGTGGTGGATTCACATCGTGCAAGTTTCATCTCCGCCTCCTGTACTGTTCGCAATCAAGTAAGAAAACACGCAGATGAAATGAAGCATTGCGACCAAGCCCAGTCATTCACAGGGGTGAAAGGGCGTCCTAACCCGGAACAAACGGGGATGAAACGCAACGTGTTGCTTGGAGCAAGGCGAGCGAGCCTCTCGGTATGGATTCGGGAAAACGACCATCGAAGGTCTGGGCTCCGGGTTGGTAGTAGAAGTAGGAGTAGAGGACCGCCAGTTGCGTCCCTACTCTTCAGGCAGTGCGCGCATCAATTGTACCGTTTTCATCTAAGCGGTCAGGACATGGTCTGGAATTCACGGAGGACTTGCTTTCCATCTACGATGATGGTGACCCCTGCCCCCTGTGACGTAGTCCGCGCAGCCGTCACGACTAGAGCTAGCAGAACCTAGTAACACACGAAGAAGTACTGTCTCATGTCGAAGGGACACTTGTTGTCGATCTTGATAATGGTGCATGAGGTCGTCCTCTGCTGACAAGCGGGTCGGGTCCATTGCACAAAGCGAGGCGACTACATCCTTGGCGTAAGCTTCTCACGCCGCAAAGTATCTAGATCCATGTCTATGAGCACTTGATTTGCTGGAAACATACGCGCCCGGGGCCACGCTGTACCGACGGTGGTTCCGCGCTGTGGTTTTGCGGTTGTTCCGAAGGTGGTTTCGGGTCCGGTCCGATAACGTGATGAACACCTTCATATATGAATCGCCGGCGACGCGTCAATACCTCAACCGCCACCCTTGTCTCTTCCCACCATGTTCAATGCTTGTCCAGCCTGCCTCGCCGCTCGCAATGCATATTGAGGGGACGAGCATGAAGTGCAATTCAGGTGAGTTGCCAGTCAGTGGTGCTTGTACAGGCTAGCTGAGGTAAGATCTTGTGTGAACATCTAGGCTCGACGTAGGATCATAGCGCACACCAACGTCTGATGCACTTTGAGAGGCTACGGCCGGTGTTGGTCCGCCTACTGTCGTGGTTGACCGGCTTGGAATTCGTACCCAAGTCGCGTCGTAGGGTGTCGTCAATGGAGAGCGACGGCGGGTCTTAGCACGCCCGCCGTCGGGACTGACAGGCTTGGAATTAATACCCAAGTCGCGTCGTAGGGTGTCGTCAATGATGAGCGACGGCGGGTCCTAGTACGCCCGCCGTCGGGACTGACAGGCTTGGAAGTAATACCCGAGTCGTGTCGTAGCGCATCTCACGAAGAGCAACGGCGGGCCTTGGCACCCCGGCCGTCATGGACGACCGGCATGGAATTAGTACCCTAGATGTGTTCGTGTGATAGGGGCAGGCGTTGTGCTCTGCACTTGCAGAGCTGCATACAGTATCCATATTCATGTGGACGCTTTGTATGAACCAATTTTTTGATCTTGCACGATTCGTCGTGTGTTTTTTTTTGGCACCATCGTCGTGCTAACCCTAACCCTATGTTGAATGTACTCCATGCATCTTGTGTTCAAGAAGATGCTTGTGCCCTTTCTCCCCTTCCTTGCCTCCCTCCCCTTGCCGTCATGAACCTCTGCTCTCGTTAGATATAGAAGCCAGATACATGGAACTTATGTAGCTAGTAAATTGCAATTTATGATAGGACATCCTAAGGCTTGAGTTCAAGATTCCTCAATCAATTGAAAGACCCATATTCTCACTTACAGGTTACGCCTCAGTTGCAGATCGAGAGTCTTGCATGCATGTGGGCTGAAACGTCAGCCGCTAAACGACTAATTACACTGTATATACTTGGGCACGCCGGAACACGCTGAGATGTGTTATCAGGTCATTTAATCCGCTACTGCGTTAGCGTTGTAGTGCGCCAGTCCAATCAGCTTTCTCAAATCATCATGAAAATGCTGACTGTGAGCCGGTCTCGTCATTCCAAAGGTTGGTACAGCGCGCGAAGAGCCGTCCAGGAGCATATTGGGATCTTGCGCTTCCGTCAACGTCTCAGAACCATCATCTCATCCAACTTGTGAAGAAATGGTAGACTTTTTCAGCCTCTGACACAGCAGCGTTAACGTAAACGAGACATTGTGTCAGCTCGGAGCCTGCTCGAGAGGCGATAACCGCCGATCGCAAACATGAATTTCGGGGAGAACGTGCCGCCTCCGACGCGAGTCGCCCTGGCTTCGAGAGGAGCGCCCCGCTCTCCCTGATTCAATGGCACCATATGAAACAATTTTTGTAATACATGCGCAGGTCTTCCGGTATCCTGCACCTATTTGCCGCTTGCCCGCTTGCTGGCGACTCTGTCACGAACGCTATGGTAATCATCTTGAACGTCGACGTCTCCAGATATTGTTTCTCTTCATCTCAAACGACAGTATCTAATTGCGGGGAATTCTGAACCGATAACTATCACGATTGTCAAGGGACTGCCACACACTTGAGGATGAGGCGCTTCATGGTCAGAATGGAGGTAGTAGCCGACACCCCCTGCAGCCACAAAGCACTCCCTCTCCGCACGATAGTGAGTGCCATCGCAACCTAGTCCTATCAAAAAATGCCGCCACGGAATTCTATTGTTATGCAAGACACTCTGAGCCTCTGGTAATGTGTTATCCGTCTCGGTGGTCTTGTTGACATCTAAGATCAAGGGCCTTGACGAGGGCTTCGATGCTTTAGCATGCCATCTCAGGCGTTGAAAGGGAGTTAAATGCATCGCACTAAGAGCGATATTGCATCACTGCGGAATTCTCTGACCTCCTCACGGGGTTTTGTATTTCGGATGGTAAGATGACGAGACCGAGGTAGGCTCTCTCATGAGAGCTCGGGCCGGGCTTAGGTCGTATGGTCCCACAGAAATTTGTGCTTCACAAGTGTGCGTATGCGAATGGATTTGCTAGATACCTTCTTGTCTTCGTGATGTGTCTCGGGACACATACGACGTGCGGTATAATTGGAAACAAGGTACTGGCAAGGCGGATTTCCAAGAGCGCGCGCTTCTTCAGAGCAGGCGGACCGGAAACGCACTCTACCTAAAAGCATCGGATTGAGGGACACGGGCACCATAAGCCGTGAAGTGCCTCATTCATGCATCTCTACTCATCTAGCCCAGGTTTACAACATGCGACAGCATATGTGGAAGCGCACAAATAAAGTTTCACTGTGACATATCAAAGGAAGTGCAGCCGAAGTCATTCAGTGCTTGATACTAGGACATGCATACAGTAGCCTCATGCACAACGTCTGGAAATGAATTCACTTGGTTGAGCTTGCTCGGCATGCTATCCACGCGGCGCACTTGATGCCACTTGCTCACAGACCACACGGATCAAGTACTGGCTGAGCAAGATCAGACGGCAGGCATGCCTTTATCCACTAGTCAATCATTTAGAACAGCATTCCTGATTCTTGGATGCCACTACTATTGGTGCGAACAGTGCTGCACCAAATTTGGGCTGTATGGCCATGCAGCACGACATTGAAACAGACGGGAATCACTAGTATGGCAGACGTATAGCAATGGCAACATTAGCGCATGGTGGCAGGCTGTCTTGGTTGGGCTGCCCATTCCATGTGAAGATAACGGGCTTCGGCATTAAGGACACATTAGAGAGATCTTGAGACCCATTTTTGGTAACCGTGCTCCATCAGGTTCGACTCTCCGGCCGGTCATAAGCACTGAAAGCAAGCGGCAAGTGGGCTCAACTGATTAGGCCGATTCATTGCCAAACCCTCTCGACACTACCCACGGGGGCTCCTCTTCACGTATACTGGCATCGATAAATGGCTGCGCTCAAGGCATTCAACACGCCACTGCCCCGAGTAGCCCCAAATATGTCTGCGTGGTGCTACAAAAGTAGGCATGCAATATCTCTCTATTGTATTGCACCGGGTGTCACGGGCACTACATCTGTCATGGATCCGAGCCGGCTTGCTACCATATGTAGATAGAGTTCATGCACTGTGTTGGTACAATGGTAATGGTAGCAGGGGTCCTACGTCATTTCTGACAGCCAGCGCTGTTGCTTCCAGGGTTCGATTCCCAGGCTGAGCTTGAGTATGAAGGATTCTTTTTTCTGAATGTACAGTCAGTGCACTGTATGCTCTGTGGCTCGTGAAGGGCATTACTACTTCTCTCGGGAATGGCATCATGAGTGCTTGTGAGGCAATGCGCTTCAGGAAACCCAATCAAACCATATATACTGACGAACATGATGGGAAAGGATTCAGCCAAATGAGGGTACACATGTTCGCCACGTTGTTCATTAGAGTTCGATCTTCGCCAAGCCGCCCGCCCAACACGTGGGGGTACCTACCCACAGCACAAACTCTTCTGATGAAATATGTTGTGTATGTGCCGGCAGTTCTCCTCACCACTGCATGGAAAAAAATGTGTAGGGGTCGGATTTGGGTGTCGTATGAATGTTGCATGATGGCATGAGCCATCTCAACCGGTACACGCCACTGATGGATATCCGGAGCCCCAATATATAGGGAGCTTGTTACAGTCATTGAATCTCTGTCTGCGAGTCCGTCTGCGCTCGGGCCGACGAATATTTTCTAGTGCAACGCTATGTCTACTCTGTCTAACCGGAGAGTGTCCATGCCCGTCATACCATCCCACAATACTTGGCCGAGACGTGCACTCACACCGCCACCTCCGTCGCATCTGAAACCTGGTGGTGCCCGTCCACCTCGTGCAGATGTCGATTATGCCGTCAGTCGAGCGGAGGAGCGGTCCGGTCTCAACACCTGGACCTTTGACATCAGCAGCGAAGAAAGAGTTCAAGCCTTTCTAGACTCTCACCTCGGATTCGACGGCCGTGTTCAAACTTTATGCTGGGTCCTTGACTTCATCGGCGGCCGCCAAGTACTCACCGGTGATCGAGTCATCAAGCGAGTGTCCTGCAGCCTAGAAGTGTCGGCCGTTGTCGACGCCATGCTCGGGCATGACACCCAGCATGCTGTCTTCAGCCTCCGCATAGACACTTTTCACGAGAAGTCTAGAACCGTGCACCCGTCGGGACCTCTCTACGCCTACCTCGTCATCGGACGGGACCGTGTATCGGACATCTACAAGGAGAACTACAGGCTCCACTTCCACTCGTACGAGCCAATATATCCCCGGCTTCTGGAGGCCCTTGCCGCGGTGTCCGACAGCATGCGTGGCGGCGATGAAGCCGGTGATGGCACGTACTTCAGAAGCGCCATCATACAGCATTTTATCTCCTCGTTTGCGATGCGCTTTTTCAGCTGCGAGGTTGACTCGGGACGGGCGTACCTCCAAGACGATCTGAACCTACCGGTCGGGCACAATATGCATAGTCGGCGCGCTGTTGAGTCATTAGGCTCTGTAGGTCAAGTAAGTACGTTCCCTCAGCCTTCCGGAGCAGCATCAGCTGATTGATTTTAGCTTGCATTCGGCTATGCTGGCGATATGCCACTGAATGCCGAGGAAGAGTGGCATGATCTGGGTGAGGAAGCATCATATTTGTAAAGTGTCTTCCATGCCTTCTTTCCGTAGAGATGTAGGATGCAACGGAATCGAGCTTGTCTCTCAATCCGACCCGGGTGGTGGTCGCAATTGATGTAGCCGTGAACGCTATGTGATCGTGCGCTTTAAACACCAACATAGGCGTCGACCACTCACGCTCGGCACACTTCGTTCGTGTCGTACCTTTGCACGCGTCGCCAGCGTGTCAATATTGGAAGCTTCATTACTCTCGCGACATCAGAGCCAGAGACTCAAGGACTGCGGGTCACGATAGCACACAGAAACGGCGTGCGCTCTTCCTGAGCGTAAGTGTGAGGCTCTCGGATACTGGCTGTTCAACTGCTCGGCCAGGGCTCACATCACGTCTTCAATCGCTGTGGACATTCACTCCAGGTCGTTGAATGCTTTTGGCATAGAGACTATCCCGGACGGGTCCAGTATCTACATGAGTGTGTTTGCGGGATGGGTCGCACTATGGCTGTTCACCTTGCCGTCCGCTCCGAGAGAAGTTTCTCAGCAGCATCTTCATCATTGCGAAGAGGATTGAGAGTAGCTACATCGGAAACGAGAACTGCAGTCCCGACTTGCGAGCTCTCTGTAGTGACCATGTGAATCATGTATTGTAGCGAACGACCCTTGCACCGTGTGTGTGCCAGATAGACCGAAAGGTAGTCTGCGTACAGCTCGAGACACATAGACGAAAGCGAGGGGTGCCATCCGAGTTTTCTCGAGTGACAGGGACAGGAGTAAGATGTCATTGCGCCACGTCTGAAATCACGTCGCTTTGGTTGGTATGCTGAACACGACCCATATAGCGAATGCTGAAGATGGTTACGGACGGCTCGCCGACGGTAACCATCGATACTTATGAAAGTACTGTATAAAGTCCTCATTCTCGAAAAGCTTCGTTCGCTAGGTAGCCGTCGGGGCTGAGCATGAGGCATCGGAGGCACCAAAGGGTGGCGATACCCTGCCTGATAGTACAAGGTAGCAGCTCACCGACATACCTGTCCATGGTAAATGTAGGATGAGAAGTTGTAAATGATGCGAGGGAAAGACCAGCCGAAAATAGAACACCATAAATCAGCTGCGACGATATGCAGATTGCCTGTACACCGTACTGGCGCAAGAGTGCTGACAGTAGACAATTTCCGTCCGTTTACAGGTGGATACGATCCCTGGGGCGCACACGGGAATGGCAGACTTTGGATGAAGGATGTGTGGTATGCAAATTTGTCATCGAAACGGATCGCGATCAGCAAAGAGCGGACACCGACAACAGAGACGTGGCAGGTTGGACAAAAGCCAAGGTGCCAAAAAATTGGCTGATCAAAAACGACGTGGTCACGTGCTACCTGCTAGCAACCGATGGCGTGCGCAAACACTTGTCTGCTTTTTCTCTGGGTCGCAACTTGAAGCGGCATGGTATTTTGCCGCGTTAGCGTGGACACACTGGCGCTAGGTTGGCAGTCGGACGGGTACGGTTGACTGGGTTCCATGTTTACAGCCAGGACGGAGCTGCTTCCCACCGTCCGACGTTTTGGATACCACTCGTCGTATCTCACGCAGAGAGCTGCAATAACCATGGCGGGTGGTGTTGCACCGATGCGTAACGCCTGGCGCGTCTCGTCCAATTTTAGCTGTGGATGTGGCATGGTGTTGCATGACGCTTCCACTCTTCTGCGCGAGCATGCAGACATACGGGTGGATTGCACAGATTGAAACACTTGTATCGACGTGCCCATAACAGTGTTTTCCGCATCTGCATGGAGCTCGGAGTCCATTGCATCGTTGTCGTCTCGGACAGTGCATTAAGTACAAAGTGCCTCATTCATTCACGTTATCTATCTCGAAAAGATCGCTATGCTTGATGTCTACATCAAGCTCCGCGTCAACCTTCAAGAGCAAGCTTATCACTTGCTCACCTTCATCGCTATCACTGTCGTGCTAGCAAATCACTGAGCAAGATCTTGTGTGCGCTATAAAGCTGGCTGTTCTTCTCTCACTACCGTGATGCGCATGTCGTTAGGTATTTACCTGGTTTGATTTGCATAACTCTGCGAGGTGTCTTCTCGGTCGCGAGCTCGACTGCGCCCTATCGATAACTGGTAGTCATATGTTCGTCCCCATCGGCTTTGGCATGCTGCGGTTTTTAATGTTGATAAGCCGTTATGCTCCCAAAAGGCGGTATAGGACCGACGTACATTCATCACTAGAAATCTTCAGACAGTCTCCTCTAGGGAAATTCGGCATAACAAGATACCTTCCGAAGTCACGCTCTGCGACATGGCCTCTCTCGTCGTCACTGCGAGCCCTCTAAGACTTTTAAAAAATAGCTCAACTCTGGACTACGTATCTTTATGCTCAATCGTCTCGCCTGCGGCGTTGCAGTTCTAGAAGTCCTTACGTCTAGCACCAGTTCATGAGGCCGTCGTTCATTCAGACGAAATCGAGGGCCAAGGCAATGGTGCATATAGGCATACTAATGGTTAAAGGAAGCGACCGAGAAGCGAACAGTGGACGGGGAGAGTACAGCTACCAGCACAAATGAGCGGGGAGCTTATACGAGGAGGGCGGGCGCCTTCTTTCCGAGGAGCTTTTTGGGCAGTTCCTCCCCGAGATCATTTTGTGTCTTGAGCGGGCGCGAGACGCGGGCAAGGGTGGGGTGCAATAAGAGTATGTGACAGCATATGTGCTCCTTAGAAGTGATAAAAGATGGAGAAGGAGAAGAAAACGTGATCGTCAAATCACCGGGCAGACGCGTAGAGCGGTCGTACGCGGCCCCATGGCGTATGACGAGATGGGCCGCGCAGGCTCAACCGGTCCCGCGCAAGTTGGAGTTGTTCTTGCAAACATGTTTACGCCTAGCCCAGTTCTTAAGATGAATGTAGTGGGCTTTGACGAGATTCCGTTCGGTGAGCTGTTCCACCGTGCCAATACACGCAAAGATTAAACGACGGAAAAACCGTACTGTGCGGAGGTCGGGGAAATAGAGGTCATTTCTACCACCTGAACGAACCTTGACAGGCCGCACTTTGTCGAGCGAGCGCCCTTGACGGCGTGTTGGTCGGCGTCAGCCTTGCGGTCGGGCTGAGATTAGGGTCAAACCCGTTGCCGTGGCGGTCACAGCAATTGCGTTGGAGTTGGCGACGCCTGTGTACTTGTGCGAGTGGATGTTAACAATGCTACTCTATAACTGTTCACCAGTATATAACTAGAGTCGGTTAGGACGTTGTGTACGCACGGGATTTGTGGAGAAGATGAGGCCTTCGACCAGTGTCTTGTGCGTAAACGAGTCGCCCTTTTACATTTATGTTCAGAATGTGCAAGATGGAGCACTGGTAACATAGACTTCAAAACTAGAACCCATTCGATAGCACATTTGCGGCAGAATGACACCCCGCAGAGTGAATACTGTTGGAAAAATGGAGACCCCGACTGCCTCGGGGCGCCCATACGCACACCGCACACGCGAAAATTTTTGCAGAATCAACATTCCTAAGACGCCACTGTGGGAGCGCGAGCCAAAAGGTCGTGTGCGGGTACGGTTAGGCCGGCGAACAACCTTGTAGTGACGATGAGGATCTCGCCAGATCGCGTAAGAATCGCTCATGATCAAATGGCACACGCCCATGCTCTGGCGCAGAACGTACGGGTCAGTAGATGCCGTTGCTCCGAGTCCTGCGCACTCCATGCACCATTGCCATATAGTGACCACTCCGCCAACAATGACCGCATCTTTGGAGCAGCTGAAAAGTATGCGAAGCGTAGTCGCAAGAGGAAGAGACCTTCCCGCGCCCCCCTAAGTGCCCACTTCTAGATACTGGGCGTTTGCGCCAAAATATCGCTCAGACTTTGGCGTTGGACGAGCCCACAGCACTCTGTCGAAACAAACCTTCCACGTCAAGTACCTGGACTCTCGATGGTGCTACTATACCTGCAGTATCACGCGCCCTAATGTCAGCTTCACTTCTACGGCTAGTGTGACTGTGGTACTTCGACTGACAGTTTTCGGCCGAATCGATCTTGAGTGGGCCCAGAATCTTGAGCGTTGCATTAGTTGTGTGACGTTTACGACAGCCACCAAGCGCATAGCCCTTCCCGTTGGCGCCGGTAGAGCCTGCTTGGGGAGACTGGGTAAAGCATCTCCTTTTCCTCAATCCTGACGGTCTCATGGACTTAATGCTAAAGGGAAAAGTGTGTATTCTGCTGTCAAACTGTATGCCATTCAATATATCACCTGTCACCAGAGGCACGGCTCTCTTCTTTGCCTCAGAATAGGGTGAAATTTGCCTTAGAACTTTGACATAGAAGCATTTGTCCACTTTTCAATCACAATCTCACTCTGTTCTGCGTCAGACAAGTGATCCAGACCATTAGTGTGCCCGGTAGTTCTTTGATGTATTTACAAATCTCTCATCCTGCTAGTCTCAGGACAAGGGCTCATTCGGGAACGTAAAGAATGATTGCCGAGAGAATGACGCGGTGCGTAGCAGGCAAAAAGTATGCTTCCGTGACCCGACAAGTGCAACAGTCTGAACTACGACGGTTAGCATGCGATCATTGTCTTTAATGTCTGCTCACTGTCATCGATGTATGTACCAAAGTACCGAGGCGAGCGTTATTATGCTTCATGAGCGTCGATGGTAGGTACCCTCTGCGTACCGGCCTGTTGTGTATAGTGCTCTCATCCATACATACATACAGCGTGTATACTGATATAAAGTGACTTAGATCTCGGAGAGATCAGCAAAGTCAATGAGAATATAGTCCTCATCTTCAGCGTTCGGGGCCTCGTCCTTCTTTGAACCGTCCCTCCTTTGCTGGAGATTTGCATCTACGCAGATAAGCTGGTCAAGGGCATCTACGACGTCCGTCAATGTTGCTGGTTTTGTGATCGTGTTCTGGAACGGAGCTGATGGAGGTAGCGCGTAGCACCAAGTGCTGCTAGGAGACGCACAAGTGCTGCTTGAACACTCAATGCGTTCCTTGCGTGCAGTATCAATGTAGCTGACGATCTTGGATGCATTATGTGCCGTGCACGCCGCCAGTCTTTCGCTCTTGCGCGATAGATTGTACCGTTGCCTCTGGGGAAGATAAGCATATTCTTTGCCAATCCCGGCCTAGCATCGCCCGCAGGTGCTGTATCACATACCTTTCGCCCAGTACTGTACACGAACAAGTGCACAGATGGTCCACCGTTACTCGGGTACTCGATATATATCCAGGCGCTCATGTTGTCGCGCGTACAACGGGGGTCTCGCGGTCAACCGTCAGTGATATATCTGCAGAGGAGCTCCGTGTTTCAGGCTTACGAAGTAGTATCTTCACGACTGCACCTAAATTGTCGTTTTATTTGAGACTCTTTCACAGATGACAGCTACTGAATGCCTGCTTTCTATGGGAGGGCGACTACATGAGTTCGGGGACGGCTTCCGTTCGTGGTGAGTGAGTGAGTATACGACGTCTATGTCAACATGAGACCTGACTCACGTTCCTTTCCGACGACACCCAAAATCTCTGAAAACGCGCGCATGGCAAGGCGGCCGGACCGCTGAGATGAACTGGAGTCGGCGCGCTGGAGGTCAGAATTGATGGCGCGGTAAGTAAGTGGCACGCCGCCCGAAGTCAGGACCCATAACGCAGTGTGAGCTCTGCACTGAGCGGTATGACTGCGCACGTACCCCGTACCGCTGCAGCATGCCTGGAACTTTTGCTAGCGGCGCCTGGGGGTGGCCACCGGAGAACGGGCCAGCGAGACTCAAGAGCCCGCTCAATATCGTGGCGATGGGCTCCACCTCCCCCCCCCCGGCGCCAAACGAGTCGGGCCGGGGGCTCAGCATTTGAGAAGCGCACGGCGCCAAGCCTCGCCGAACGTGAGCACGGGGCGATGCGCGCCAGAGCAACGCGCCAAATCATTCGCGCTGACGCGCATGTCCAGAGATTTCGGTTTTTTTGCCCTTTCCGGTTTTGTCAAATCTCGGGAATCTGTTGGACTATCTTATTTGGTCGGCTTGTGAGAGCCACATGCAGTGCGAATAGTCTTCACTTGCCCATCGAGAGCGTTTAGATACATGTTTCCGTCATGTATACGATAGCGGGCTGCCCAGACCGTTGCGTCATCAGCCGCGCACACCCTGTGACCCCCGGAGAGCCGGATGCATTGGATTGCGTGGCTGGCAGTTCGCGCCGATGGACCGGCTTCGCTCAGGAATAGGGAGCTTTACTCTCGTACGACTGCCTATCATCTATCTCGCGGAATCATTTTGCGATACCGGAACCCGGACAGTCCATAGTCGTCACTGAGCAAGGCTCATGGCATGCACGTGATCATCAAACGCGGATGTATGACGTGGCCATATTTTGTATTGTATTCGACCACCACGACCACGACTATCATCATCATCTTCGCCATCGTCATTCTCGTTCTCATCCGCCCGGTATCAGTTCTCGGCGGTTGACTTGCCGGAAATCTCGCCATGGATGACACCGCGCTGCTAGCGATCGAACTTCTTGAAGAGATCTTTCTTTATCTTCGTCTCGATTGGCCATGTAGGAACGTCTTTTGCTCGCACGAAATACCGCCTACAAGTGAGATTGGACCATCTCAGCTGGGTGCGCCTTCATGTAGCCGCACCGATCCGAAATGGAATCCAGTTCTTGGCTGGGTGAACGTGACATTTGTCTGTCAGCGTTGGAGAACAATTGCACTCAGGGCCGCCAATCTTTGGACACATATCGATGCGCGGCAGAACCGAAATTGGATGTCGGTGTTTCTGGAAAGGAGCCGTCAAGCTCCACTCAGCTTGACACATTGCACGGCTTGTGAATGTCAGATGAAAAGGCTACCGGAAGGTCTTGTCAGCGAGTGGAACGACATCATCTTGCAGCAGGGACAGCGCATCCGTAATCTACAAATCTGTCTTGATCCGTCTCGCATTGTGGACAAGCGGAGTTGGGAACTACTCGGTCTTCCTATGTCGGGTATCCGTCGCTTTGTCTTACGCGCTTATGGCGGCATGAGACGCGCCATGCCTTCCAACGGGGTGCTGTTTTCGGACAGGGCCGAGCGCCTGATTCATCTTGATATCGAGGCACGCGAGAAGTGCATTAATCTCGGTGCGCCGTTCATGAGAAACCTGCAATACTTGTCTCTTAAATTCGTGACGGGCCTGCCTGCCCCATCTACAATGCTCGATTATATAATCTGCATGCACGCGCTCCGCCATCTCAGCTTGCAGTGGATTCCGTCAGTCGATGACGCTTCACCGACAGTTGCGCCTGGTGTCCACCGATCGCAGATCGACTATCTTGAGTTATGTGGAGAAGCCAGCGGGGTCCGCCACTTGTATACCCATCTGAGCACTGTAGAAAACGCAGCCGTTCACCTGTCCGTTGGGACTTCTGGTGATGGCGGCGGAGACTTGCTTAACGAAATTAACACACGATACGAGGCCGACATGCATACAAAGCTTCGCCGCCTCGATGTCCTCAACATGTGGGGACGACTACCAGATGAGCATGAAATAGACGTCCTCGCTTTGCGAAGTTGTGTGTCAGCGACAACCGTCCTCGAGACGGAGCCTCGCTTTGAATACGACATGTACCCGTATTCTTTGCGGATTCATATGATGGGACCGGGCTTTCTCGACGATATCCTGACGAAGAGACCATTCTCCGCTGTATCACATCTCGCGATCTACTGGGACGAGGATTATACAATCTCGTGCACGAGAGAGATACTGTCTCGCACTCGCCTGATCACCACACTATCCATCTATGGCTATGCCGACTGGGCAAAGGATCGGAACCAAAGCATGTTCTGCGATTTATTTGAGATGTTAACTGGCTCATTCCATCGCGTATTCATTGGAACGGCTGCATCAAACTCAATCCTCGTCCCCAGTTTGCTTCACTTGAAGATACGAATGTATACACCAGATTTCTTTGAAGGAAAGACCCTTCGATCCTTGGAAATTTTCCTTCGAGTACGCGCCGCGGAAGGTATGCAACTGCATACCTTCTCCATAGACCCTCCTTCGCATCAGATGCAGGAGCCTATACGTGCCAATCTCTATGCAGTTCTGGAAAATGTCACGCTCTGCGTCGAAGAGTAGAGCTCATCCTGGAGCGGCTTCATAATTGGAAGTGGATATACAACCGAGGCACCGAAAAGAGCACCGGATCCCAAAAGAAGCTGAGAATAGAGCGGGCATATGGCATGGGCTAGCGTGAGCACACACATTTCTCGGGATGAGGGTGGCTGTCGAGAGTCAATCTGCTGCTGGGGATCCGAGTTGGGCGGGGCCGGGCATACCGTGATATTAGGAATATGATTAAAGAAGGACACATGGAAATTTGACGCGACATTTTCATGCGCTTGCGACTTGTAGCTAGCCAAAGATCGTAAAGTGTTGTATGCATTAGTCTCTCCGCATGTACTTTTGCAAAAAGCGCTATCTGCTGTTCTATTGCAGTCATGAGATTGACGCCCTTCCCACCCGCAGCCTCTGACTCCGTAGCAGTAGGGAGAGCGCCATCAATAAGCTGTCATGGTTTTGGAGGAGCGCATGAGGTATCTCGGGGCACGTGCCTGCGCGTGTGCTACGCCATCGTCATGCGTCGTAAAAGACTTCACCCGGGCTATGCCTGTGATTTTCTTCCCATGAGGAAACATCGAATTTACGGCGGTAGCGGGTTAATGGCATATATTAAACTGATTCAGTTACGCATGTTCCTCGGTATTAGTGAGACATAGGGGAAGGAACTGATAAGAAGAACAAGCTGCTTTGTGAGACTGTCGCCAATGACTGTGAGAGCGTTAGACCGGGAGTGAGACCGGGAAATAATAGGCGTACGTACGCTTTCTGGCACTCCCTTCCGCAATATCGGATGCGCTGACACTTCCCGCACGTCTTCTGGCCACCCTCACCACACCATATGCAGGCTCTTTTCAACTCGGGCCATATATCTGTTGGTGGCCTGATAGCTAACCTGACGATGAGTGGCAAGGCTTTGAAGCGCCAGTGCGGAACAGTCGAATGGCCAAATAAGCTGACGATGTAAAGACCTTGAACACACGAACCGGAGTGCGGCGGCGTTATCTCAAAAGCCCAGTTCAACGTCTCGACTTTGTCCAAGAGACTATAGCTAGTTCTCTCCGTGATTCCGGCCAGCAAAAACGCCAGTCGTTTGTGCGAGTCTCTCCCTCTCAGCTCCTCACAGAATGTCTGTCTGTCCTGCCCACTTTCGCTAGAAAAAAGTCAGGAGGCGCTTCACAAGATAGGTAAGAACGTGACCCCTCACACCTGACGGTATCGCAGGGTAGAAACGATGCGAAGCACGAGATTTGTGATGTTAAGTACCCAGTCACGGTCCATCCCGTGGCCAATGCCGGTGTAACCTCGTTCTCTCATCCAAAGGCTATACATACGGTCAATGAAAAGATCAATAGGTCCGAGTTCTTCAGATATGTGGCGTCCCAGTCGGAGATCTCCCGGAGCGTAGTGAGCACTCATGGACTTCGACCAAATATCGCGTCCTAACGCTTGAAATCGTAGACTGTGAAGGAAATAAATCATCCATATTGACTGCATGACCTCGTTGAACATCTGGAAAGATATCTCAGAATGTGAGCATTTTATGTCGCCCGGGCGGGATCTGACGTACATAAATATCACGCTCAGAAGCAAAAAGTGAGATTCCAGAGATTGCGGTCCATGATAGCTTCAACAGCATCTGACGCGAGGGAAAAGAGCGGATGTCTGGAAGTCTGCCAGAGGCATCGATGCGTGACATGATGTCTATCATGGGTCTTAAATCGTCTTTTTTGTAATGCAGGATGACGCGTAGGTATTCAATACACACGTCTGCCGCCGTCTGATCCCATTTAAAGGCAGAGAGACGGACAGGAACCATAGTCGGTATGCGCGAACTTCCAATGGAGAAGGATTTTATGAGGAAGTCACAGTACCGGTTTAGAATCCGCGCTTGTAATAAGAGAAAGCGCCTTCCCTTACGCAGGCGCTAGTCTTCCAGATGAAAGTGTAAGGGAAACATGGGAGCTGCAGTTCAGACAGTGCCATCGCGCCTCTCGCGGACGACCGCATAGCAGGTCCAGTTGCAGGAACTACCGGATGCTCCGGTTGCAATGAACTGGTTGATTAAAGCCTACGTTGTGCTCAAGTGTCTCATACAGTCTTACATGCTTGGCCACAACGGGACAGGTGTAAAGAGCGACGGAGTAAGGTGGAGACGAGTGTGAGATTCAGCGAGTTGAGAGGCCCTTGTGTCTGAAGCCCACAAGCACCATGTGAAATGTCAGAGCCGGTGGAGCTAGACTCCAAGTGTCCACGTCATGAGAACGTTTTCAAGGTACACGGTTGGTGTGTTCTAGGTCTAAGAGCGATCTGATCTGTGAGGATTGCTGGGAAATAGGGTTTTCTTCATCACATCAGAAACGATGTGGAGAATGAATCGGTATTCACTCAAAGGCACATTTCCCTGAAGCCCATTGCATCGGTTCAACTAGCTAGGCTATGATCACAGTGCATGAGCACGAGGCCGTCTCTGTCTGCCATGTGAGTATCGCAATCTCAAGACACCGCCAGCAATTCCCGTTCGACAATTCTATGGCTTATTCATACGAACGGGTCAACTCCAACATCACGCACATTTTGTAGAAAGTTGGACAGGGCGTTAGAAGGTGAGACATAGACCTCTCAGCTTTGGTTAAATCTTTGCACTCGCCTGTCGCCTGTGAGAGCGTCTATGGAAGGGTCCGCTCTGTTGGGCATTCTCTCACAGTCTCTTCCACTATCCACATACATGGGTGGCGCCGATGGCCTCACACGTCTGATTTGGTGTAGTCGAAGATAAGGACGCAACGTTCTGGTGAAGGGAGACGACGTATGTGACTCGGATGATTAAGTTTTGGATGGCTCTGAGGTCAGATGGGGATTAGTGGGGCCCCTCAAAGTTCTGCTATGGTTGTATTGCGTAGTGTGCAAATGACGTAGGTTGTCAGAGTACATCTCGTTCACGATGAGTAAAAGGTGCCCAAATGGTATTTACATGGGGATTGCTAGGCCAGTTCTCTACGCCTTCACGATGCAAAGTCGTTGAATGGCTAGGGACGCTTGTCACGACGATCGGATAGTCTCATCACGGAGATCTTTTCAATCGTCGCTGAAATGTCGTTGATGATCCCGTCTGCGAGCAAGTGCTTGCAATGGCCTATTTCGATTGAAACCTCAACAAGAGCCCCTTTCAACTCGTCGTATCGACTTGGACTCAGCGGAAGACTGTCGCCGAGAAGATAGACAGGGAGAAGGCGTGGTCCCGCGGAATGACTCGGAATTTGATATGCACGAGACTCAATCTCTTCGAGACATGAGGCGCTTTCGATCCCCCATTGCTCGGGAAGATATGAAAGCGCTATAGAGGGTCGCGGTCAGCAACATTGACGTAATGCTGTCTTGGCTCATACTGACCGTATGTGCGGTCCCCGTAGCTGTGGGCTATCCCAGATACACAGAGAGGCTCTATAGTGTCATAGACACCGACTGGTGCTTTTCTCTATAATGAGTTCAACAAGAAATCAGGTACCAAAGGGAACAGCGCGTACATCTGAAAACATTTTGTGCTGAACTCGGATTGCCTCTCGCTCAAAGTCGACGAACGAGGTCCAGCGCTCGTTGGAATAGGAGCAGTCTGTTTTGACACTCTCAACCAGGTACATGAGGTTTCCGAGCTGCTGTGCCCACTTCTCCGTGTACAGAGAGTCCCACGGTCTGACGATGTTGCACTCGGACACGAGAGCGTCGATGCCTACACCGTTGCCGGGAACGAAGGATCTGAATGCGTTCAGGTCGAACTGATGAGCGGAAATCTCTCCAAGAAGTATGACGTGCGCAATTTCTTGTGTATTGGACCTGACGGAGCGATGTAGTACGTGCTCAAAGCTATCGGCCAGCTGGGAGGCATTGGTCTTGCTATGGTAGCATTTCCAATGGACTGCGAGATTGAAGTGCGGATTCGCAAGATGAGTGTGAACGTTATTGCAGCGTTGTATGGCCGTATGGGTTGACTCGCTGAAATAAGATGCCCGGATACTCATCTCAATGGGCTGCGATGCCGAACAGATAGTAGAGGGTAAGCGTGCAGGTGTATGGAATGTGGTGCAGGTCTTATCTTCAAGGTCATGGAGGTATAGACCCGCTGTACATACGTCATACAGCACGAGGACTGTCATCTGACCGATTGGAGTTACACGAACCCTGAAACCGAAAGAAAGGCCTCACAAAGCAGGGTCAGTCTGCAGAGTACGTCATTCAATACACCGAACTTCGATTAGTTCCACCCATTGCTTCGTCGTTGCTTCATCAGAACGGACGAGCAAGAAGCCGTGTTATGGTGAAGGCGATCATGCAGCCCCTGCGGTGATCATATGTCGTTCAAGGCAAAGAATGCATGGAGGAGAAAACACAGTAACAGGAAGCGGGCATGAGGCAACCCCCTGACTCTATTATGTTGCCTCAATCCGTATTGTAGCGGCGCTGAAATCGCAGCACGAGCCCTCATCACAAGTGGTGTCGTCATATGACGTTGAAATGGCTCGTACAAACTTTTACCAGTCGGAATTCAGCCACAAACACGGTACCAGGCGTTTATCGATGACACTGGATTGAATATGAGAAGAACACGCGGGCAAGGAAGAGGGGGGTTATCTAACCAAGGATGATGTATCATACGTATTTTGCCCAACGCTAAAGCCATGCCCACGTTCTGACATATGAGTGCTTCAATCTATACATGCTTGAAAGACATAGAGGACAACACGTCTGAAGTACAAAGAACTGGTCATTGACAGGCGATCCAGCTGTAGTCCTGCGTGATTATATCACGGCCGCAGGGTATGCGTCCGGGAGTTGTCACCGATCATTGCGCGCCGCGAGTCCATCTCTGTGGGTGGGAAATGAGCTACCGAAGTCCAGTGTCAGTATCCATTCTCGCTAAACACACCTGAGGGTTGCGTGTAGAGTAGTATACTCAGACAAATAGCAGCTGGCGGCAACGTGATGGTGCGTGAGCAAGTCCACCATGCCTGCTCTTCGCC